ATAACTTTTGCATTTTGACCTCGTCACATTTTTTTTTCTATTTCCCTGGGCGCAAAACAAACAAGGCAATATTTTAGGTTGAATACATGGAGCTGAAGGATTGATACTGATTTTTTTTTTTTAATTTATGATCTTAATTTCTTAAATGTTCGACAATAAAAACCAATCTCAACCGTGTTAGGGTCCATTATTGCATACCAGTAGTGATCTCAATATAAAAGCCATGGCGTATCTAGTGAATCTTTATTATTGATGGTTTAAGAGCAACAGATGAAGAAGTGACACAGTCTGGCGACACTCGCCGCCTTATTTCATTGAATGAAAAAACATTTATGACAAATTTCGCTTGCATTCAACTGCAGAATCATTTGATATTTTCAGAAATTCTCACAAAAGGTATGTCCGGCCACTTGTATTGGATTAGTCTTCTAGTATCACGCCAACGGGCTAGACAGATCTGCCCCAAAATACAAGCACAAAACTGATGAAACAAAAGCAAAACAAACAGACAATCCGTATAGTTGTTAAAATTTCAACAACAGGAAATGAGAGAGAATCCAATTGTTGCCAAATCAGTAAAGCTTTTGGTTTTACCCTTTTCTCGCCGCCAAAGCTGTATACAACCTCTATATCACGGCGCAAAGTTCATTCAGTTTTTTTTTATCCCCAGGTAACCCACGTTACATTTAATTTTGGTCCGACTGAAACTTAATGTTGTCATTTATGTCTAGTTAATCCGTGCCTCGTTGGCCCTAAATTTCATATCAGCATTTGAGTTACAAAAATGACACGGGAAAAAGTCGCCCAAGTTACTTAATCAAGTATGTCCCTTTTCGAACAAAAATGGAATACTGCCAATATTTACCTACCATTTCTCAAAAGGTTCCAAAAAATCAAAACAAGTATTGACCATTTCCCTCGGTGCTGTGCATGAAAACGGCATGATTCAACACCGTTTTTGAAGAGGTCTTAAAACTCCGCAAGACCTTCTGTGGGCACATAGCAAAACTCAAGATCAGTCATTGGGATTTCTACTCATAACCAGCGTATAGGGGGTTATTCATGCACAATCATGAACGAAAGCCCTAGAATTAATGGGCGGGTGTCCGTACTAAACCACGGATTCAACTGTAATTGTAACTATCCCAGCCAAATTTCAAACACTGACCGGACATCCCATCCCTAATCTCCGGTCAATGTTGTGGGTTATGGGTCATGGTCTGTGCAACCTTGGGAGGGTGTGGGTAGTGCATGTGTTCCTACAATTTTGGCCAGGATTATCCGGGTTCATAGGTGCCTGTGCTTATATGTATGCAGGAAGGGTCGCTAACTTATATCCTTGGTTATCGTCGAAAGAACAATAGAATTTAAAGACCCCGGATTTCAACTTGGTTAATTAACAGTGGCAACAAGCTGAAGTGTTAGGGACACTTTGCTAACAGCGCATAAAATGTATGTGAAATATCTATCAACAACATTACATGATTGGATTTCTTACCTTTGCCGAACAAAGCGCGCATAATAGCACACCCTCAAAATGCGGCGGGCGCGCGATGTGCAATGGTTAGAGTTAGGGATTGGGTTGAGGTTAGGGAGTAAGGGTTAGAGGTAGTATGGTAAGGGATAGGGTTTGGGTTAGTGTTAGGGTTAGTAGCGTGAAGGATAGGGTTTGGGTTCGGGTTAGTGATAGGGCTAGGCATAAGTAGGGTTAGGTATTGTGTTGGCATTAGGTTTGGGGTTAGGGTTAGGGTTAGCAATAGTATGATTAGGGATAGGGTCGGGGTTAGTGTTAGGGTTAGTAGCGTGAAGGGTAGGGTTAGGGTTGGTGATAGGGCTAGGGATTGTGTTGGGGTTAGGATTGGGGTTAGGGTTAGGATAGTAGGGTTAGGGTTGGGGTGTAAGGTTAGAGATAGTATGGTAAGGGATAGGGTTGGGGTTAGTGTTAGGGTTAGTATGGTAAAGGATAGGGTTGGGGTTAAGGTTAGTAATAGGGCGAGGGATAGTAGGGCCAGGTATTGTGTGGGGGTTAGGCTTAGGGCTAGGTTCAGGGTTAGGGTTAGTAGCGTGAAGGATAGGGTTTGGGTTAGGGTTAGTGATAGGGCTAGGGATAGTAGGGTTAGGTATTGTGTTGGCGTTAGTTGTGGGGTTAGGGTTAAAAATAGTATGGTGAGGGATAGGGTTGGGGTTAGTGTTAGGGTTAGTAGCGTGAAGGATAGGGTTGGGGTTGATGATAGGGCTAGGGATAGTAGGGTTAGGTATTGTGTTTGGGTTAGGCTTGTGGTTGGGGTCAGGGTTAAGGTTAGGATAGTAGGGTTAGGGTTGGGGTTTTGGGTTAGGATAGTATTGTTAGGTGTAGGGGTTAGGGTTAGAGTTAGGGATAGGGTT